CAACCCCTAGATATTGGAACACTGCTGTCCTCTCACCACTCATCCTTTTCTTCATTAAACTAGACATACCCAGCAACAGTTCCTTATTTGTTTTAGCCTTGTCCCCTCATTATCTTTGTTGTTCTTTTCTGTACTCTTTCTAGAGTCTCAGATAGGTGAAGACATTTTCCCATTCATGTTCCCAGCACTTAAGATCAAGAGATGTGCCACCCTTGATCTTTGCAGTACTATAGAAATTTCATAACCTAAATTCCTCTGGATTTATCGTCATTAAGTGTTTGGTGTAGCAAATCTTCCAGTTAACTTCAATTTGACCTGAATGTGCCACAATTTAGCATTATTGTTTTCAGATTAGTCCAGGAGATCAAAGATCAAAATGGTTTTTTGGTCTGCTTTTTTCCAGTCCATTGAATTAATTTGAATACCAAATGCTATTTTCCCATAGTAGAGTTTCAGATATATATTGAGAAAAACTCATGAAACTGCAAGAAGATGGTAATAAGCTTCCAATGTTTTCCTGCAAATTGTAAATTTGGGATAAAGGTTCTGGGAAATTAAAAGAACTTTCATCATTTAACTACAAATATTTATCTGCTGTAAATAATTGCATTTAAATCACATGGTATGTAATAAAACAAAGGAAATAAAGGAAGTGGAATTGCATAAGACTAATGAAAAGCCATAAATTAAAACTGAATTGCCATAAAATAATTACCATGCATTTTTCTACCAATTCTTATTTAATTTGATGAAAAATAATTTATTCTAAACATTTCATTCAAAAGATGAAGGGAATTTTGGTATAGAGTTGATGTCAGTATCTTCTTTGAACTTACTTAATCCACAGTGCTAAGGATATTGTGTTTATGTCCTGCCTTTCCTTGAAGAATAATGTTTATGCTAATCTTTAAAAGGAAGGCATAATGAATGAACTCTCCACTGGAAAATGTGAACAATCAAAGGAGCTTCAGAATGATGGGAAATGTAATAATAGCAGTAGATGCATCACTTGCTATGTCCAGTAATAGAATAAGCTAAAAAAAATCCAACAAACCTCTTCAACAAAAAATTGGTAGAAATTTTCAAGTGTACTGAAGACCAAATAGAAAAATAAGCTTGTGTCTTTCATGATGGAATAATTTTGAGAAACTGTAAGACAGATTTGGGGGGGGGGCGCAATGGTTCAGCAGTTAAAGATGCTGAGCTTGTCAGCTGGAAAACTAACAGCCCCAGGTTCAAGACCGAAGCACCTAGCAAAGGAGTGGGCTCCCATTCTTCCCCAGGTTCTGCCAACCTAGCAGTTTGAAAGCAGGCAGTTGCAATAGATAAATAGGTACCACTTGGTGGGAAGATAACAGCATTCTGTGTGCCTTGGCGTATGGTCATGCTGTCCCTAAGTCCACGAAAGTGTCTTTAGACAATAGTGGTTCTCTCAGCTAAGAAATAGGGATGAGCACCATCACCTAGAGTTGGACTTGACTGGACAGGGAAACCTTTATCTTTACCTAAAGCAGAATTTGGCACAGAATTAAGTATCATCATGGCCACATAAATGTGTGACAAAACCAACTCCTTATTTCCTGTAATCTGCCTTGAGTCACCATGAGCGAGTAGGCAGCAATATATTTTTTTTCAAATAAATAAAAATAAATAAACTCATTTGAAGATAACTAGCCATGTTAATCTTTCATAGCAAAAAATTATCAAAAGTATTTTGCCCTCTTCAATGCATTTATTATCATATAAGCTTTCATAGATCACAAATTTCTTCATTACAACTGTTACAAGCTCTTAGGCCCTCCAAAACACTGAAGAAGTAAATAAACATGACAAAAATAATCTGCTTACAGGTATATATATATATTTCTCTTTATAAAAAACAAAACCCAGAACTCACAACTATCTTTTGAACTTTAGTCTGTTTAAAATAAATCATTCTGAATCTTTGAAAGTTTAATATAGTCCTACTCCCTATCCTCTTCTTTTTAGCAGTTTTCTAAAATCTATAAATAGTATAATGTCCTTGAAATGCAAATAAACTTTCTAAAAATATCACCATCCACTGAGCCTAGACCTAAATTATTTATTTGTGTTATTCAAAGTTTTTCAGAAATAATGTGGTAAATACCCCACAATGAAAATGAATCCTTCCCTGATTCCTGTTATAGTTATTAACATCATTGTTTTTCTAATGTCTAATAGTGAATTAATGTTTCCTAATGGAAGACCTTCAGTGGTCTTTTTTTGTCAATTTCTACCTTGAAAAATCTCTCAAGATGTATGTACTCCTGATTAAATTTTTTTCAAATTGGTTTGGTGTTGTATAAATTTCCAGAAACTGAAATGAGTAATTTGCCAAAATCTCTTTTCAAAAAGTCTGAAACAATCAACTAATAGAAAATGATGAATTAAAATTGGTGAAGTTATTTATAACTGCCTTCAGTGAGTATTGAGTAAAATTTAAAAAGTAAAACTACAAAATAATTATAAAATAACTAGCACTTATAACCAGAAAGGACATGTGACCTATTTATATTTGGATGTTAACTGTTACTTTAAAATGCTTTTATTCAATTATTGGAGTTGGTGGATAAAGCAACCTAATCTAAACAATTAACTTATTATGTGAAATTTTAAGATTTGGGAACAGTCAGTTAGTAGATTGTAAGAATAATACATTCAAAGATTTAAGGATAATAGCTGTGTTGTCTGGCCAAGTCTATGTATATATATAAAATATACAAATGTGTTAAATATGTTTGAATTTACAATTATACCAATATTGTGTTTGCAAATGTATTTTATATACTTCCACATACCAGAGTTCTTCTGTGGCTGGCTGCTGTTAAATAAATTTTAAATTGTTAGAAAGTAAAATTTCACTAAGTTCCGTAATAGCTACTGTGGTGTAGTGATTAAAATGTTAGCAATGAAATCTCATTGGGTGACTTTGGGCCAGTTATGGCATTTATGATATATGCTGCCTAGAGTAACTTGTTGAGATGAGTGGGGAAGGCAGGCAGGCAGGCAAGCAAGCAAGCAAGCAAGAAAGAAAGAAAGAAAGAAAGAAAGAAAGAAAGAAAGAAAGAAAGAAAGAAAGAAAGAAAGAAAGAAAGTTCAAGTTAGTTCAATTGCATATAGCCCTATCTCAGATAGGTTTTAGAAACACATTTAAAATATAAGATATAACAACAATTATTGGATCTTTCTAGAGACCTGATCTTAAATCCTCAGAAGTCAATTGAAATGTTTTCCATAGATTAAAAATATATAGCCTTGATAGACTTGCTTTGACATCATTTGGATAAGAGGAACAAGTGTAAATTAAATTCTAAAGTACAAGCTTGGGCACGTAGTGAAAATGTGATACAAATAAATGAAACTTTTATTTTATCGTCAATCTCAATATTTGTTAGTTTTGCTGTTGCTGCTTTTCTTCTCCTCAATTATTCCATCAAATATTGCTCACAAAGACATAGACCCGGTAAAATATGTTAATCAGGACTAAAATGCTTGCATACAATTTCATTGATTTAAGTAATACGATGCTATAGTTCAGTGGTGACGAACCTATAGCACAGGTGCCAGAGACGGCACTCAGAGCCCTCTCTGTGGGCACACATGCCATTGCCCCAGCCTCGCTTCCCCCGTGACCCCCTTCTCTCCAGCAACTCCCCTGAAGGAAAGTCGCCCCTGAGCGTGGCCCACATGGAGCAACACAGTTAAGGCCATGGTAGCCAGGCAGCATAGACAAGACTCACACCCCATCATGCACAGTTGATGCTGCAGGGCACGAGCAGAGGGCGTGACCACCATAGTGCTGCTGGGATGCCTGGGCGATCTGCGGTGGGCCCTAGAGACGGTGAGTGGCCCTGCGGGCAGGCGGGGTGGGGGATGGGGGGTGGAGCGGGGGCAGGGCAGGGAGTGGAGTGGGTGCGGGGCCAGTATTTGGGCACTCAGTCTCTAAAAGATTCACCATCACTGCTATAGTTAGTTGAATTAAGTGAAATAGAAAGATCTGTAGGTAGATGTACCATCTCATTCAAGGCCATTCATAAAGACTTTGGATAAGGATGGAGAAACAGTGTCCTATCATTTCTGTTTTGATTTTTTTTTTAGTAGTGGGCGATTTCCTTCCCACTTATTACAGCAAAATAGAAATTATGTGTTTAAGGCTGATGGTTTTATTTTACCCAGTATTTAGGTATTTGGAGTAGATGAATCATGTCTTTCTATAATTTCTTCAACTTCTGAACCACTTCTTTTTATTCTATTGCTTTTGGACAATTAATGACCTTGCTTACAATAATTGCAAGCTTTAGAAGAATTATACAACTGAGAAAAGAGAATGAGAGTCAGGACCATGGACAGTTCCATACAAAGCCTTAGGAGTCCGAATTTGATTGAATTCAGAAGTCTAATGGAAATTATAACTTGCATTGCTCATCTCCACTCTTTCATGTCATTATTATTATTTTCTCAGTTTCCTTGTTTTGTTTTGTTTTGTTTGTTTGTTTGTTTTTTCCCATGAAGCAGAATGAGCTAGCATTTAGATGAGCAATGCAAATAATAATTTCCACCAACTTCTGAATTCCCATTCAAATTGCAAATATAACCTTTAGCTACATTGCAAAGAGCCTCATATTCATATCAAACATTACTATTAAAATTGGATTGTATCCCTTTTTGATAAAAAGTATCATTAAGAGACCTTTGATTCTTTCTGAACTTTTCCTACCTTAGAAGGAAGTTTTGTAGAGTACACTTATTCACAAAGGAAATATAGATAGTCTCTGAACTAGGAGGTGTTTTGTCTTGGAATGTTCAACTTTTTGGGAGTTGGATTGATAGATCCCACTTCTTATATTTCCTTCTAATAAGGAAAGTCTCTAACTGGTTTTTTTTTTCAATAAATGCTGCAGAGATCTCAAGAAGTTGTAATTTTGTCCCACAAGTGCTTTTTCATGAGGCAACTGGGCTTTCTTTTTTTCTCTTTGCAGGTGTTTCATTTCTCTTCCAAGGAGCTTCTTCACCTATGGGACAACCATAACCTGGATGATTGAGAATCTCCATAGACAAGTTGTAATTTTGAAATGTTTCCATGTTATCATGAATTTATCAGTTAAAATCATGACCTGACCTGTCTCTGAAAGTATAATGATGATGGTGGTATGAAATAAAATATGGCCTATTGCCTTCTATGCTTCTTCACAATGTTTCTCTTATACAAGTAATACTGATCAGAGGTTTTGAGCAGAGAGACAATCTGAAGATACATTATTACAGCTTCCACATATTGCAGACTTCATGTACTTGGATAGTTGACCTTTTAGTCCAAAACCTTTGTAAAGAACCAGATAACCCATGTATGGTTTAGAGAAATGTTGAATCCAAGCCGTGCCATTTCTGTAGTTCAAATAATACCAAACATTTTAGTTCAGACATTACAATAAACCATGTTTTGTCAAATAAGCTACTTATGTTCACATATAATTTTAACCCATAAAACAAGGTTAACAAACCATGATGACTGAGTGTGGTCCATGAATCCATATATTTTCTTGCCAAGATTGAGTAGAAAAGAGAGGATGTGCAGTTTTACCCAGTGTTCCATATTTGTCCTTCAACATTCCCATATATTATTAATTCAGCAAACTGCTTTCAACATTCAGCTTTATATTGCACTAAAAATATTTCAATACTTTGGCCATATAGTTTGTCTTGTCGTGGTTTATTCTAATGCAACAACTTTATTAAGCTGATCACACTAAATTGGAAATTTACTTTATGAATAGGCAACTCATGAAATGAATTCAGTGCCTGAAACAGACCTATAGGAAATAATGGTTTGCCTAGTACTTTTATAATTCAAGAATGTCTAGCAATATTGTATAAGGTTTTGACACACAAGTAAATTATTTATTTTGATCAAGGATGAATCACCAATTGAATTAAGAATGTCTAATATTATCTGAATTATGTTATAATGTCTGGTCATTTCATCAGTGAAATCAGTGACACCAGTACTTGATATATTGATGGAAATATGTGGGCATTATCAACAACTTTGCAGAAGCTGTTAAAATATGGGCTCACTAAGTAAAACTTTAGTTATACATTAAATTTGCTTTCCAGCAAATTACATTTATCTTGCTGCTATCACAAAATACACAATATTTTTTCATTTCCTTTATTTGCCTCTTTGTGAAATATTATTCTTTTGGAAAGAATGGGTACTTGTGCTGATGCATAAACTTGCCTAAAGCCATTTTTAATATTTGAAGACTAAGCTACCATGCCAATTATATAAAATACCATTATGTTAAATCAAAATGGCAGTGACCATATATTTTTGCCACAAATGGTTTAAATTATTTTGTTAGTATTTCATAGTTGTAACTCTGACTATTCCATGTCATTACTAGAGGAAAATTTTCCAATCTATAGCAAAGGTTCAGTGTAAAAAATAATATAAGCTATGTTGTCACATTAAAATCAATGTGTTTGGCCACTTCTTCATAAATTCTTTTCAAATAAGTCATGGTGAATGCAGTGGAATAATTTTAATCTTAGAAGTATAAGTCAAGTATACTACTTTTGAACATGCAAGTTTGATTGAAAGGAAGTGAATGTAGCTGCTAAGCAACAAACTATGAAAAACAAAAAAGTCATTTGCAATAACTTTAATCTTTAATTGCAATAACTTTAATCTTTGTCAATGCTTAAACAGACACAAGATTTTTGCCTAATATGTCAGCATCACTGTACTTGCCCATATATTGTTTAAATATTACTGCACATATGTTCTGGATTTATGTTTGTGCTAATTAAATATGCCATTGCCTGCAAATGTCACCATCCTGTCCTATTTTGACTCCTTCTGTTCTAGTACGAAGTGAAACAAAATGATCAGCCATCTATGACTGGTAGAGTTGATGGATGCTTAATATATATCTTTGGGATTCTCAAGCAGTAGACTTTAATTATCTTCCTCCTACCCTTGTTTGTGAGGCTTCTAAATATATGAGGGCCAGGAAGAGGCTAATTGAAATAGAAAACAATTATTCCAATAGAAGAAAATGTACACTATGTAGTTGAGGATTGAACTATAAAGCTCTTGGTGTGCTCTCTGAGCTTGGATGTTTGCTTGCTTGTTTTGGTTGTTTTATTTCCCGATAGGTAACGTCACTGGTGCTAATGAGTATGGGGTTTGCTCCCTATTTCTATACAGTAGCTTACCCTCCATTGTTAGTGGGAGAGGATTTTCTCCTTGGTTTTTCCTTGATAAGAGGATTTTTTTTTTCTGTTGATTGTTTATCTGGTGTTAGTCTGCTGGAGAGGATATGTTTTGGTCTTTTCATTTGCTTCTTAGTTTTTTTATTTCCTGCTTTCAAAGATGTATAAATGTGGTTTATCTCTATGTGTCTATTGAGGTCGGCCTTCCCAAGTGAACTAGTCAGAAAACATGACTAGATGAATTAAATTTTCTTTATTGTAAGACTTCATTAAGTCTGAAAGTACAAACTTCCTGCTGCCACATGTAACTCCTTGATCTACAGCAGTGTTTCCCAAACTTGACAATTTTAAGGCATGTGGACTTCAACTCCCAGAATTCCACAGCCAGCGTTGCTGGCTGTGGAATTCTGGGAGTTGAAGTCCTCATGCCTTAAAATTGTCAAGTTTGGGAAACACTGATCTACAGTATTGGGGCAGGTCTTTCCTAAATTTCTTTCTCTAACCATTGAGCCACTGGGAACTCCTGTCTTACTTCTTTTGTCTGATTGTTTCCTAGGCAGCATCTCTTCCCCTCATTCCTCAAGGTCATTCATACATTCCAATACAATTAAAGACTGATTTATCTGAGTATCAGGTTTCCAAGCATTCCCTAAAGTTTTTAGATGTATTCTTTTTAAGTTCTGAACCAAAAAAAGACATTAGAGAAGTCAGAAAGAAAAGCAGCTACATTAGTTCCTTTAATCCAGTGGTTCTCAACCTGTGGGTCAGGACCCCATTTGGGGTCGAATGACCATTTCACGGGGGTCGCCAAACAAGGCTGTCCGCCATTTTTTCCCCTTTTCTTTGGCCACGCCCCTGGCACCCAGTGATGTATAAGTGGTTGGGGGTCACCACAACATGGGGAACTGTATTATGGGGTTGCGGCATTAGAAAGGTTGAGAATCACTGCTTTAATCTAATTGACCAATTTTAATAGCACAGGTATACCAGCAGGATATATTCCCATTCTTTTGAGGCAGAAAACATAGGAAACCATAGCTTAAGCCCGAGAATAGCATGGACTGAGCACTTCAACCTAGAAAAAAATGGAAAAATCATGGCTATATTTACATGTATGCTGTGGCTTTATCTATTTTAAATCTTTAGTCCACTCTCTACAGCTCATATCTCCCTCTCAAACATTAAATGCAGGATCTGTCAGAGAAGAAAAGTGTACATACACATTAACACATTACAATTAACCTGACCTGGATGTAAAAGGCCTTTTAAAATTCTCCACCAAATTTATGGCCAGACAAATTTCGTATATCAAATCTCAAAATTTCTCCAGGGGGACAGGGAAATTATTTGACAGTTTATTACATGAAGAATTTTTGTCTAGCAATAGTAGTACCATTATGGAAAAAGCCCAATGGGAAGAGTTGATTATGTCCTCTTCATTTATGATTTAATTATAGTATGGAAAGCTGCATGACAGCAATGATTATAGAGTGAAAGAGGGGGCATTTACATACACACAATCATATACGCACAACCACTTCACCCACACACAACCACTTCACTGCTAAATGGAATAGCATCCCCACTCCACCTAAGAGAATTTTTTGAAATTCTCTTCTTCTTTGAATTAATTTTTAAATCACATTTTGCTTTATAAAATAGAATGACAATTGGAAGAAGCAAATGATAGAATAATTTCCACTGTAACAGTGCAGGTAACTTTATGTAATTGAACAATAAACTTTATCTGCTCCTAAAAGGGTTGTTTGCTGTCAATGTGTCCTACCTCTTTTATTTAAGCACAGACCAAATGTTTCTTTGCTCAGTCATACCATTTGAGAAGAACTACTTCTTTTGATTCTCAAAGCTTTCATGTTTTCATGAAAAGGCCCTTCCCTGGTTGCATCAATCAGGAGCAAATAGAACAAGGGGAAACATTGTTCCTAAGAAAGAAACATTTCTTGGAGCTAACAGAAAAATAAGAATAAGAAGCCTTACTGCAGGGGTATCAAACTGCCAGCCCGTGGGCCGGATGCATCACACCAAAACCGTGCCCACCCCATTGCTGGCAATGGGGGAAAAGTCATGATACATCGCAACACGTCACATGACGTTGCGAGTTTGACACCCTTGCCTTACTGTTTCAGTGAAGTAGCATGCTTAAACAATAGACAGCTCTTAACCACTTAAAATAAGATGCATCCCAATCAATTACACCAGCAGAAACATCTCTGCTCATTTTATTTGATGTTTATGAAGAAGATTCATTTATACTAGACTACAAAGTAAACAGAGGAAAGGTTATTGCTAAAGCTGATTAAATAAGTGTAATAAAAATCCATGACCTTGCTATATACCTTTCAGTCCTTCTTTTAAAATGATAAAGGTAAGCAGTTTTGAAACTAATTTCTCCTTGAAGAACAAAGAAGTTGTATTTCACATGATGATGTTTTTACAAGTCATGTTGTGTCCTTGCTCAGCACTGAGATCATACATCTGGAAGATACCCTGCAGGTCATTTTACAGAAAAGTCTGTTTAATACAAGAAGTTCAAAACTAGAATATTTCTATGGGACTGACCTTCAGGGAAACAATTCTCCAGGAATTTGCTGCATTGGCTAATTGTGATTACTCAGCTACATCCCATCCAGTAGAGTAAGGAGACAAAAGAGAGGGAAGCAACTGCAGCACCAAGGTGGTACGGGGCTTGGCACACACTAAGAGTGCTGGGATGGATTGTGAAGTCAAAAACAGTGCACCACCAAAAGAACTAGCAGCATTTTAACAGCATGACATTGGCATTAAGAGTAATACTGGAAGCTGTGGCTCCTTTTTTTACCATTAGTGCATTTAATGTTCAGCTGAAATCTCTATAAGCCTTTAGATCTAATGGTGTCCCCTGTACAGTAGCTGAGAAAAAAAATTGCTTTCTTCTTTGGCATGTAATAGCCTTCCACTTATTTAAGGCTACATCATGTCTCTCCTCAATGTTTATGTTTTCTAAATAAAGCATATATATCCTTTGTCTTTTCTTTTGAAGACTCCTTTCTGTAGTGTTGACTATCTTTATGGTTCTGTACTGTTGTCTTATATTTCTGGGCCTTTTATGAATGATTCTAGTTGCTTTATGTCCATAATGTTCTTCTTCTCAAAATTTAAGGAACCATGCATTT